AATAAAACGATTGTTTTCTGCCTGGTTAAAAAACTCTTTTTAGGTGATCCACAATTATAGGTCGAGGAAAAAGCTCATCATCCAAAACTTCTGCTTTAGGCCGAGTGCCTTTTTCGATAGCTTTAATAAGATGTCTATTATTGAATTTGTTTCGACACCAAGCATAAAAAAGATCTCCAGTGCAAAAGAAACCAAATAGAGCCAAAAAAATGCCAATAATTCCCAACCCAATGGCACCCTACAAATAGTGAGAATGTGATTAGAAATTCCACTAGCAATAATCGAAAGCAACAAATACGCTCGTACAAGATAGTAGAAGGGATTATCGTAGTCTTCGAAAGTGTAGGTGTGGGAAGATAATGAGACTGTAATTCGTTCCGAAAAAAATAAAGTGCAATGCCAAAAATATAAATATGAATACAAGTACAAATATATTTTTTTTGCGACTAATAATTTTTGAGAAAGTCATTTTTAAAAAAATTTTAACTCGATCACAAATTTTATAGGAATGTTAATCGGTCCTTTGAGATCGAATCCTGACCGATCCTAACCTATCCTTTCAAGGATCTGTAAAGATTTGATCCTTAAATCACATGATAGTTATACGTGACCTAAATCCGGTCCTTTTATAAATTTCAAGATCTGCATTTGTTGAAAGTTAGATAGTGCACTTGCAATAGCAAGAATACTTGCCTTTGGCAAGTTTTTTTTTCGTTTTTGAAAGTATATGCCTTAATGAATTTTTTTATATATTCTGTATATAAAATCTCGGTTTATATCTGGTATATAATTATATATATATATATATATATATATAATTTCTCTTTTTTTTTTTATATTAGGCTTTTTGCCTTTTGAAAGTTTTCTTTCTGGCACCGGAGCGATGCAGAGCGACAATCTTTTCCGAATAAGACCTTAATATCGTGTAATATTTCGTCAGATTGTCCAAGCAAATCAAAAGTTTACTATGCTTGAATTTTGGGAAACCCACTATCATAACCGGTTGGCTTTGAAAATTTCGGTTTGGTTAACCGATTAAAATTTTTTCCTCGGTTCAAATCACTATAATTAATTATTGGAGATACTATTTAATGATTAATAACGTAAAATTTTGCTTCGCCAGAGTAAATAATCGTGATACTATTGTCATAGTTTTAATTTTTATGTAAGGCAGTATGAAAATTGAAATGACAACAATTAAGGCTTTAGTATATTTCTTGATAATCAAGTTTAAAAACTATAGACAGTTTGTTTGATAAAAAGAACTTCCTAAGTATTGAAATTCCTTTTCGTTAAAAACCAAATATCATTTACATTCGAAGATTATAGCTAAGTTAATCGTGCATCGTTTTTGCAACCGGTAATTAACACATTGCTTTTTTGAAAAAGTAAATTTATCATAATATAATTACAGTAAATTATGGGAAACCTTATAACAGTAGCAGTATATTATGGGAAATCTTATAACAGCATACTTACGCTTGCGTCATAACGCGTTAACAAACGACAGAAAAGTAAAAACTATGATTATAAGTATGTGTTTGCCAGAGATAGATAATACGTGTACGATTTACATTAATATAATAGAATAGTGAATTTATTACATAATGGGTAGCTGTGACAAATGGACAAGATCTAGCGCCGGATAGTTCAAATTATAAAATGAAACCGTTTAAGAGTCTAGAATGCTAGAATTAACCAATTGCATAAATCATTTCATTTTAACGATGTTAAAATTAAGATCTAGATCTCAAATTTATTAATACCATTGATCGTTATTATACTTTGTCGCCTCTTATCACAGTATACATCATCACTAGATATTATACATATATTCTTTTTTCAATATTTTCATAATCTTTCTTTATAAATACTTCAGCTAAATTGTTTAACCTCGGAATCATATCTTGTAATTCTTCAGTATCCTCAAAAGAAACTAGCTTTCGTCTCCATGAGCTGACCCATTCATTGCGATACCTAATCAACATCTGTCGATGATTATTAAATTCTGATAAAAGACGATTAATTTGATATCGAATATTAGGAACTTTCTCCATTATCTGTTTTAAATAACCGAGATCTCGTTTCAATTGTTCCATATCATAATACTCTTCTAACTCTGGTGTTATCTTTTCAAAAAAAAACACTACATCATTCATTCCATTTGCAAGTTGATGATGTGTCCCATTATATAAAATATAAAGATCATCAAGTTCATTTAGGATTAATTGGAACTTATCTCGTAAATTAGTAACTACATTTAAAATTTTTCCATAACGTTCTACAAAATATGTTACATTTTCTTGTGTAAGAACTTGTCCAGGTTTAATCTTATTATTGATATCTTTTAATTCCATGCCAAGTTCTTTAAGAGCACGTCTGCCAACAGGATACATTTTTTCAATGGCTTCACCTGAGTAACGTATTTTATCCCCAAGTTGATTGAGGTATTGAGCAACATTATCAGAGTTATTTTGAGATAATTCATTTCGATCTATGATATCAGCAAGATATTGGCTTGTAACTCGATATTCTATGATCACGGATGATGCTTTTTTGATAGAATTATTTTTTAAAAATACTTTTTGATATTATTGGTTCAAATAATTAAATATATAGTATATAGTATACCTGGAATATTAAGTTCCGCAAGTTGTCCAGAAATCAAATTAGTAGTATTCGTAAGACTTCTAAATATAGGCCAATCCAAAGGCTGTATATAGTAATAAATAATGAGCTTAATTGCGTGCTTTAAGAATTAAACAGTAAAAAAATTAAATCTTACTGGAAAGAATATTTCAAAGAATGGCTAATTTTCAAAATTGCAAATTATTAGATAATGTCTAAAATATGAAGCTTAAAAATACATCCAGTAACCTACTTGGTAAAAAAATGCGAATCGTAAAATAATACTAATGACAACGATTAAAATGCTAAAGTTAGCAAGTGACATTAATGATGAAATTTTGGTAGCATCTTCATTATAGGTTTGTTGTGTTTGTCGTATTGGTTGTATTAATGGTGTGTTAGTTATTAATTGAGTAGTAACATTTGGTCTCCGAAATGAAACATTGTCGATTTTCCAAATAAACTTTTCTCTACAAAAACAATTCATTTTGGAATACGATGCATTTTGATCAAAAATGTATTTATTATAACTAATTATTACGTAATGTGTGGGAATCTTGAAAATCTTTGTGGAAGGATATTCCTGAAATATTCCAGTTATGGGAATAAAAGATAATCGTTACTTCATAAAAAATACGTACTTTTCTTTGAACGTCAAGCGTTAATTATGCAATTAAATAGTGAGAACTTTGAAAGTTTGTCTTCAAATGCTGTTAAATTAGATAAGTGCAATTCTGATGAGAAAGAAGGTATATATTTCTTTAATTTTCTATTTGTTTTTATTGTATTCTCTAAATCTGAAATATTTTTTGGTACTGTATCCATAGCTTCTTCGACACTGCGACAGCGCCGTAATCTCTCATTTAATAGTTCTACATCCAAAGTGACATCAAATAATGTCAAATCACAAAAAAGCCCATTAGTATATTTGGCAACGGCGATTTTTATCATTTTATTATTTGGCAAAGTAAGAATAGATTATCAGATTCATAACTTAAAACTATAAAGATTTTATATAAATTACAATTTATATAATTTATAATTTTTAGATGTTATTTAATAAAGATTCTCCTCCATCTGATACTACATCTGATGAAGTCCACTTCTTTAAAAACATCGCAAATATATTTGATTCTGCTTCGGAAAAATTATCTTCCCTTGAAGTACCAGGTATAATACACGTGTTTATTATCAATATTAATAGACTAATTAATTATTTAAAATTTATTCAGAATCAAATGAAATGAATAGTTATCGCGTAATTATTCGTGATCTTGGTATTATAATGAAAAAAAGTGATATAGTTGTTCAACATGGAAAATTAATCTCTGAAGTACTCTTCGGATTGGATAACGAAATTAAAGATGCAAGTGACGAAATTGAAGAATTTCGACATCAAGCAAAGAATTTCTTTTGGTCTCAAGGAAGTGAAATGAATTCAATTATACAAGAAATTGAAAAATCTCAACGATTCGACGATTCCTTAATAAATCATATTATGGGATTAAATAGCCAATCTTTATCAAATAGTCTTGAAAGCTTTATTCGTGAACGTCTCAAAGCATTAGCAAAACAAATACCTGGTTTTCAGGATCAACTTAAGCGTGTTATTAGTTCTATTAATAAAATTCAAGAAGGTGCAAGCAGTGCTCACGAGTATTTGATTGATGGTGAACGTGAAGCTGAAAAAGCCTTAAAAGAACACTGGTCAGGAAATGTTATCGATTATTCGTTGAGAAAGCGAGCTGAAAAAGAACTTGTACAAGTTCAATATATTATAACATTATTGCGAGAGATAGCTCCGAGCCTTATCAATTTTGAAGTCTTTTTGAAAGAGTACCGCCGCAGGATTCAAGATGTTACAAAAGAAGTTAAAAGTATTCCAAAAAAGCCAACTGCTGAAGATATAAAATATTTGAAAAAAGCGATCGTTGATCTTGAAGAACATCACGCAAAATTCTCTTCCGCAGAGAAAAAAATGGGGCAAAAGTCAAAAGATTATTATTTTGAAAATATAATTAATAATCAAAATCGGGATTGTACTGAATTTCGTGCATTAATTGAAAAGTCTAATAACGTTCATCTTAAAAAAATAAGGATTTGGTCATCGGATATGGTAAATGCCATTGCATTCCTCTATTCAGATGATACGTCTGTCATATACGGTTCACCAGGCGATGGTGATAGTGAATCTTATGACTTTGATTGGAATAAAGGTGAAAAAATTCAGCAGCTCCTTATACGAGTTGGATCTGTATTGTATGCTATCCAATTTCATACTGATCAAGGTCGAGTTTCTGAGTGGCGCGGTGGTGATAAAGGGACTACTTATGTAGTACATTCAGGAAATCATATGTCATCTATTGGAATTCACGGAAGTTTTTCAAGGCAAATATGTAGTATTGGTATTATCTCTCACTAAAGTTTATATTGAAAATTTGTATATAACAATGAATTGGAGGTTAGGTCTAGGTAAATATCTATTTTTATATGCATAACTAGGCAATAAGCATGTGATTGTATAAATTTTTATCTTTTATGTTTGAAATATATGAATATAATAAAGCTCTTGTCTTTCTTTTTTATAATTAAACTTTTGCTTCTTTTTATAATAAAATATTTTCATTGTTTCGTATCTAATGCTATATGCTAATTAAGGCGAAAATGTACTATACATTTAGTATTAGTGAAAGTCAAAGAAAGTTGTTTGTATTAAATTTTTTTATTTATTATAAAATAAAATGGTCGGATTTGACGCATTTAACATAATGTGATATTTGCGAATTGCACATCAATTTTTTGAATCAGGCCAATCAAGCATAGAAGAAACTCGTATTTTCATGGAAAATCACGGGTTATAACATTCATATGATTGGCTAATTTATGTAGATCCAAGCATGATTATTGACCAATCAAATTAATTAAAAAATCTTTCGATACGCGAAATAAAATACAAAATAAATTTATTATTAATGAAAGCGAAACTTTTTCAATACTAAAGTCATTCTATTCTATTTTTTAATCACTATATTTCATTAAAAACATGTTGTTATATCT